AGGGACAAGACCCATTGTCCTTCTTAAGGAGGCTGAAATGAAACACAGAATGCAAAGACCGTAAATTCTTAGGAAGTTCCACATCAACTGCCACCTCATTAATCACCTTTCGTACTTTAAAGGGCCCAATGAATTTCCATCCGAGCTTCCTGCTGGGCCGAAGCATTTTTATATTCTTGGTAGACACATATACATAGTCACCAGGCCGTAGAGCCCAACCCTCCACCCTTCCTCTATCAGCCTGTTTCTTGTAGGCAGCTTTAGCCGCCTCCAACGTTTTGCACAATAAAGGCCAGGCTTGTTGCAATGACTGGCACCAGACGCTGGCATCTCCTGGCATCAATGTTCGTTTTCCCTCCAAAAATGGCAAAGGAGGACTGTCATAGCCATAAGCAGCCGTGAACGGTGACATGCCTATGGAGGTGTGACAGGTGTTGTTGTAGCAGTATTCCGCCAAAGGCAGGAGGTCACGCCAGTCATCTTGTTGATAGTTAGTGAAACAGCACAAGTACTGTTCCAATGTTTGGTTCACCCGTTCAGTCTGCCCATCAGTCTCTGGGTGATACGCGCTGCTCAAACCCCTCTCCACCCCCATAATATCCATAAGTTCTTTCCAAAACTTTGAAACAAATTGGGTCCCCCTGTCAGAGACCACCTTTGTAGGCAAGAGATGTAGGCGCACAATGTTCATGAAAAACGCTTTGGCTAGTGCCTTGGCAGTCGGCAATGATGGAAAAGGCACAAAATGGGCTTGTTTAGAAAACATGTCTACAACAACCCAAACAACCGTTTTGTTCTTACTGGGAGGCAAGTCAGTAATAAAGTCCATGGACACCACTTCCCATGGCCTGGATGGAGTAGGGAGCGGATGCAACAACCCGGGTGGTTCCCCCCCCCTTGGTTTACTCATGGCACACATTTGACAGGTTTGCACAAACGCCGACAAGTCCTTGCGCATGTGCGGCCACCAAAACTGACGCTGAAGAAGTTTTAGTGATTTCACAAAACCTGAGTGCCCAGCCAGTTTTGACCCATGAACCGCTTCCATAATTTTCTTCCGGAGGGAGATAGGAACGTACAGGTTACCGTCTTTGTACCAGCAGCTGTTCTTCCCCACCTGACAATCCCCCACTCCCTGCACAATGGAGTTGTCTTCCTCAGAAAACTTCACGCGAAAATCGTTGAGCCATGGAATCGAGGAGGGAGGAGATGACGAGGGGGAAGGGGGGGGAGGTAGGGAGTTTGGCTGCCTGGCTTCGAGTGGTGACCGCCCCTCCCAACTGGGCAGGAGTGAAAATTGAGTCCACAATGACGTCGCGCTGGCTGGCGTGTTGGGGAAGGCGGGACAAGCCATCCGCTAGCGAGTTAGCCGACCCCGGGAAATGGTGGAGCATGAACTGAAACTTTGAAAAGAAGTCAGCCCACCGCAATTGTTTGGCAATCAGGCACCGGGGCGTTTTGAGTGTTTCCAGATTTTTGTGATCAGTCCACACCTCAAACGGTACCCTCGCCCCCTCCAGCCAGTGTCTCCACATAGACAACGCCAACTAAATTGCTCCCGCCTCCTTCTCCCACACGGACCAATGTCTCTCAGCATCCGAGAATTTCTTGGAAACATAAGCTAACGGATGCAGCAGCCCATCCTTCCCCTCCTGCAGGATCGTCCCTCCCATAGCCACATCTGAGGCGTCAGTTTGAACAACGAACTTTTTCGTCTCATCAGGGTGGGCTAATACCGGTTCAGAAGTAAACAGCCCTTTCAAACGCCGGAACACCTTTTCGCACTCCGTTGGCCATGCAAGCGGCGCCCCCAGCCTTGTGGCCTCTTGGCCTTTTCCCTTTATTTTTAATAAGTCAGTTAGTGGAAGTGCGATCTGGGCAAAATTCTTTATAAATGATCTGTAAAAATTGGCGAATCCTAAGAAAGCTTGCAATTGCCTACGAGTTTTAGGTGCCTCCCACCCCACCACATCTTGCACCTTCCCCGGGTCCATTTCCAGTCCGGCTGCCGATAGGCGATAGCCCAGAAAGTCAATGTGTGTTTTGTGAAACTCGCACTTGGACAGTTTGGCAAACAGTTTGTGCTTGTGCAACGTACTTAATACCTTTCTGACCAGTTTCACGTGGGAGGGCAGGTCGGGGGAGTACAGTAAGATATCATCTAGGTAAACAAGCACTCCCTTAAACAAATGTTCATGTAACACCTCATTGATTAAGTTCATGAAGACCCCCGGAGCCCCCTGAAGCCCGAAGGGCATAACCAGATATTCGAATTGCCCCAATGGCGTGTTGAAAGCGGTTTTCGCTTCATCGCCTTCCTTTATGCGAACCCGAAAGTAAGCGTCCCGCAAGTCAAGTTTAGAAATTTTTTTCCTTTTGCCGCTTCCGCCAGTAGATCTTTAATCAAAGGCATCGGGTACGCATTTGTGGCTGACACTGCATTTAAGCCCCGGTAATCCGTGCAGAGTCTCAAGCCACCATCCTTCTTTTTCCTAAATAGAACCGGGGCAGCATAGGGGGATGAAGCTGGTCGAATGAATCCCCTGGCCAGATTTTTGTCAATGAATCTCCTAAGCTCTTCTTTCTCAGCCGGTCCCATGGCATAAATCTTGCCCTTCGGCAGTTTAGTGCCCGGAACCAGCTCAATGCTGCAATCAGAATGTCTATGGGGGGGCAGCTCGTCAGCCTCTTCCTCTCCAAAAGCCGAAGCCAAGTCCTGGTACTCTCGGGGAAGCGTGGAAATTTCTTCCCAATGTAAGGAGAGCAAACGAGGAGTCTTTCGCAGGACGGGGCCCCCATTCCTCCCTCCATTTGTGCCCCCCACACTTGGGTGACATGAATTCGATCCTCCCCTTCTCCCAGAGAATGTATGGGTCGTGGCTGTAGAGCCAAGGGGCCCCCAATACTAGGGAGAATGGGGAATCAGAAGTAATTATAAAAGAGCCTTGTTCCCAGTGCTCGCCCGCCCCCATGTGCACTAGCGGACGGCTTGTCCCGACTTCCCCAACACGCCAGCCAGCACGACGTCATTGTGGACTCAATTTTCACTCCTGCCCAGCTGGGAGGGGTGGTCACCACTTGAAGCCAGGCATGTAACGTTCTCTTGATTTCTCCAATTTTCTTGAAGAGATCTCTAGTCCTTCCCATTCTATTGTTTTCCTCTATTACTTTGCATTGTTCATTCAGGAAAGCCTCCTTATCTCTCCTTGCTGTTCTCTGGAAATCTGCATTCAGTTGAGTAAATCTATCCTTTTCACCTTTGCCTTTCTTCTTTCCTCTTCTATTTGTAAAGCCTCATCAGACAGCTACTTTGCTTTCTAGCATTTCTTTTTCTTTGGGATGGTGGTGATTGCTGCCTCCTGTACAATGCCACAAACCTCCCTCCATAGTCCTTCATCTAGTCCCTTAAACCTGTTCTACACTTCCATTGTATATTCATCAGGGATGTGATATAGGTCAAACCTGAATGGCCTAGTGGTTTTCCCGGCTTTCTTCAGTTTAATTCTGAATATTTCAATGAGTAGCTCATGATCTGAGCCACAGTCAGCTCCAGGTCTTGTTTTTACGGACTCTATAGAACTTCTTCATCTTTGACTGCAAATGATATAGTCAACCTGATTTCAGTGTTGCCCATCTGGTGATGCCCAAGTATAGAGTCGCCTCTTAGGTTGTTGGAAGACGGTGTTCGCTATGACCAGCGTGTTCTCTTGACAAAACTCTGTTAATCTTTGCCCTGCTTCATTTTGTTCTCCAAGGCCAAACTTGTCCATTGTTTTGATGGGAGGTCATAAATTAATTTTGAGAGCAGGTCATAAATATTTTTGTATATTGATACTCAGTCATCTTCAATGGCCTCAGTCTGACCAGTTCCTCTCAAATAAATGTGCAGTAAGTTGCCAGCTTCCATTGCTCTCATAGCTTGTGCAAAACTTTATTACAGCAATTATGACTGGTACTTTAGCAGTTTTGCATAGGGCTGCCAGCTCCCAGTTGGGAAATTCCTGGAGATTTTGGGGGTGAAGCCTGGGAAGGGACCTCAGCATAGGGAGTGAAGGGACCTCAGCAGGGTAGAATGCCACATTATCCACCTTCCAAAGGAGCCATTTTCTTCAATGCAACCGATCTTTATAGGCTGCATTACTAGAGATCTCCAGGCCCCACCTGGAGGCTGGCAGCCAAGCTGTGGTGCACTTGTCTGCCCCTGGCAAGCAGGATTTCTGTTCTGCTTTAGTTGGGGCGGAGACGTGCATGTGGACAGCTGGAACAAGCCTCGTTCCTACTCTTTCTCCCCAGGTGCAAATTCAACAGCCGTTCCCGGAACTTAGAAATGTCAATGCTTCCAGAGCGAACTTTGTGCAATCACAGAGTGCACCTACGCCAGATTTTATGCATGCTAACTCAAGAGTAAGTCCCACTGAATACAATAGTTTACTCCCAGATAACAATGCCTAGATTTCGTCCGTGCATGCTTATTCGGACATAAATCCCACGAAATTTAATGGGGGCAAAGCTGCAGCCATGCAATCTGCTCCTAAGCATTCTTACTAAGAAGTGAACCCGGCCGAATTCAACAGATTCGTAACCACAGTTTCTTTCTTTCTTTTTTAACTTCTGTGGCATTTGCTCCTATTAATCCTTTAGCTCCATTGCAAAATCCACCCGCTCTGGGATAGGTGCCTTTTACACACTAAGAATCGGGAAGAAACACCCACCGCTCCAACTTTCCCAGACGGACAGGTTTCGCTTCGCGCGTGCGCAGTTCACCTCCGGCAAGATTCCGGAGCAGAGCCGGCATTTCATTGCGCGCACGCGCCTTGCCGCCGCAATTGTCCGCCTCTTAGCCTCCAGAGGGATCCCCGCTCTGACGCGGCACGGAGGTTTACGCATGCGCCTTAACGCTACGCGTGGCCGGCGACGTCATACTGCGCATGCTTAGTATTGCGGAAAGGTAGCGAGGGAGAGGCTGGTGACGTTCGCATTTGCCGCTTCTTCCTATGGGATCGCTGGTGGCGCGCAGGCGTTTTGAAGGAGAATCGCCTGGTGAGTTCTTGAAGTCCGAGAGGATTCCTGAAAGCAGGAACATTCGCTGTGTCTCCCCCCCACCCCCTTCCCCCGGTGCCGAGAGGATTCTGCCTTCCGCGGCGAGCCCCCATGTTGCAAAAGCTTCCCATAGCTTCTGACTGGGGGTGTTCATGCTAGTTCCTCCCGTGCCTCCATTCAAGAACGGCCTGTTCTGTTTTGTGACAGAAAGCTGGGCTATTGCTCCTACACACGCCCCCTATCTGGACCTCTGTGTGTGTGTGGGGGGGGGGTTAACCTTCCCTATATCTTCCCCTATTCCCTATTTTGGGGAGGAGACTTCCAGGAGCACGTGCAGAGGTGTGCATTTCTGCTTTGGCAGGTCTGTAGGTGAAGCCAGGATGAAGCTGGTGCGGAAGGACATTGAAAAAGACAATGCGGGGCAAGTGACCCTCATTCCTGAAGAGGCCGAAGACATGTGGCACGCCTACAACCTGCTGCAGGTGGGTGACAGCTTGCGAGCCTCCACCTTCCGCAAGGTGCAGACTGAGTCTTCCACGGGCAGCGTGGGCAGCAACCGCATCCGCACCACTCTCACACTGTGCGTGGAGACCATTGACTTCGATTCGCAGGCGTGCCAGCTGCGTGTCAAAGGCACCAACATCCAGGAGAATGAGTATGTCAAGATGGGGGCTTATCACACCATTGAGCTGGAGCCCAACCGTCAGTTCACCTTGGCAAAAAAGCAGTGGGACAGTGTGATGCTGGACAGGATCGAGCAAGCCTGTGATCCGGGGTGGAGTGCCGATGTGGCTGCGGTGGTGATGCAGGAAGGGCTGGCCCACGTCTGTCTGGTGACCCCTAGCATGACCCTGACCCGAGCCAAGATCGAGGTGAACATCCCTAGAAAGCGAAGAGGAAATTGCAGTCAACATGACCGAGCGCTGGAGAGATTTTATGAGCAGGTGATGCAAGCAATTCAGCGTCACATCTCCTTTGATGTTGTAAAGTGTGTGCTTGTGGCCAGCCCAGGCTTTGTCAGAGAGCAGTTCTGCGACTACATGTTTCAGCAAGCCGTGAAGACTGACAACAAACTGTTGCTGGAGAACCGCTCAAAGTTCTTGCAGGTAAAGATAACTCAAAAGGTTCTGTGCAAAACATGGGGGGGGGGGGGGGGTTAATCAATGTATGATAAAATGGCCTGTTACTCCATTGGTCTGTTATTCTTCCTAACTTATTTAGCCTGGTTTGGGAGGGTAACATCAAGTATACATCAGCTCAGTGGAAGAATACCTGTATTTGAAAAGCTTGTCACTGCATGTTCCAATCCTAAACATACATTCTTTGAAGTAAGTCCCACTGAATTAAGTGTGTGTTGTTTATACATAAGAACAAATTTAGAGTCCAGTGGCACCTTTAAGACCGACAAAGGTTTATTCTTTCGTGTGCACGCCCACTTTTTCAAATACATTGGAATGGCAGGTTAGAGTTCAAATTTATAGACAGGCTGAACAGCAAATTAACACGCAACATGATGAAGATGTTTTAAGATATGCTAAGACAAAACTAAATAATCAGCTAAGGTTACGAGATCAACAGTTGTTTTGATTTAACCAAGGGGGGGAACAGTAAAGCGATAAATATGTCAGAATAGGTGGTAAATGTCTATAAGTTTGAACCTTACCTTCCATTCCAATGTATTTGAAAAAGTGTACCTTGCACACGAAAGCTCATACCTTGAATAAACCTTTGTTGGTCTTAAAGGTGCCGCTGGACTCTAAATTTGTTCTACTGCTTCAGACCGACACGGCTGACCACCTGGTTTATACATAAGATTATTCCGAGCTGAGGTTATAAGCAATGTAGGAGAAGTGGGATCGTAGCAGTAAATATATAAGGAGTGATGGGCTGGTTCAGTTCTCTGTTGTAAGCCTAGCTTTCCCTTTTTCTTTTCTTGCTATGAGTTTAAAACTTGCTCAAACTTGAGGCTAAAACAAGTAGCTAGAAAATCAGTATATGTGTACTACAGACCTGTGAACGGTAGGCCAAACATGAAAGTGCTGAAGCTTTTGGCATAAGGGTAATTTTAATATCTGCCTAGAGCTTGGTTTAGAGTATTTGCCATAAAGAAGGCCCAAACCTTTGAGATTTTATTGCAGGAACAGCTATCATAACTTTCATTTAATTTTACTTCTGATTGCTGGTGTGTGTTTAAAAGAAGGAAAAGGAGGGCTCTTAACTCCAAGATTTAAGTTTTTAAAATGTGGAACTTAAATGTTTTAACTAGTTTTGTAAACATATTTAGAACACATTAGAAACTGCTGCTAAATGCTAGCAAATAGAAATCTGTTTGAAGCAATGACCAGTATGTTTAATTGATTAAAATCCATGCTTTCATTCATGCAACATAATATCAAATAAATATACCATTCAAGTTGCCTCTTATGTATTCTTGGCTACTAAATGCTTCAGATGCAATTTGCTAGCATGCTAGCAAAGGATACCTAAATGTACATTGCACACAGGCAGATACTATCAAGAATTATTCTTATCTCACCATAGAGTTCAAAAAGTAAGATAAGCTGCCAGGTCCTGTACAGGTGTAGGAGTCATTCCCCTTGAGTTCAGGGGGATTTGCTTCCTCATAAATGAGCTAAGTATAAAATCTGTACAAGTCGATGGTTTAGGATGTCACTGTTCTTTAAGTGCCAGTTGTTCTGAAAAGTGAATACTTATGTACAGTACTGATATGATTAAAACCTATTGTGCAAAACATTGAAGAGCACCCTCATTATCTGGGGGCAGGCAGTGCTGAAAGAACGACGTGCTTTTTCTGTTTCTAGCCCTGTGAAGCTAGGGCAAAATTCCAGCAGTCAGAGTCCATCTTGAATTTCTGTGGTATCTGAACATAAAATCTCCATTGAATGATGTTGTGGTTTTAAGACCAGCAAATCTTGTTTCTCCTATTGCTGTCAGCAATATATATTTAAATATCTTGTTTTCTGGCTTGTAAAGCTTAACCAGAGGGATACCACCTAGTTACAAGGAAGCTAAAAATGGAGATTTCTGGTGATGAGAGTACTACAGAGAGAGAGAGAACTCTTAAAAAGCGGTCAGTATTTTTTTGTGGTTTTTCTTACTCTAGGTACACGCTTCCTCTGGACATAAATACGCATTGAAAGAAGCTCTGTGTGACCCAGCTGTGACTAGTCGACTTGCGGATACTAAAGCTGCTGGTGAAGTCAAAGCCTTAGATGATTTCTACAAGATGCTACAACATGAGCCCGACCGGGCTTTTTATGGTCTCAAGCATGTGGAAAAAGCCAACGAGGCCATGGCAATTGATACTTTATTGATCAGTGATGAACTCTTTAGGCATCAAGATGTAGCTACGCGGAGTCGTTATGTCAAGCTAGTAGACAGCGTGCGTGAGAATATGGGTACTGTTCGCTTCTTCTCTAGCCTTCACGTGTCTGGGGAGCAGCTTGGGCAACTTACAGGCGTAGCTGCCATCTTGCGGTTTCCTGTTGCTGAGCTTTCTGACCAGGAAGATGAATCTAGTTCTGAAGAAGATTGATGCCACCTTTCCCTTTAATATGATAGGATGAATGCAGGACTTGGGAGCTGCTGCTTCTGCATATTGTGAGCCTTTGCACTGTGCCTTACAAATAACTTTTGAGGGACAGTATTTTTGCAAGTGACTTGCAGGGTGAGCATTTGGTATGGTGCTCATTGCAGCATATATTTATATATTTCCCTTGCTGTGTTATTGATTACGATGGTGGTTGGTGCGAAGATGTAGATCTCTGCTAGCAAAAGCAGACTGAGAAAAACCACTGAGTTTGCCTCCATGGACCGTATTTTGAACAGAATATATAGCTAAGCAACTAACATCATTGATGCTGTGTGGATGGTGTACAACAAAATAAACCAAAACCAGGGGGAAAATTTACTGTCTTGCTGAAGTATTTTCTGTATTCCGTGACAATATTGGTACCTGTCCCCTTGGCCTCTTGAGATGACGTGATGTGTACATTTATTTTTATAATATGTATTTTGATGAAGAGGAGGGAAAGCTGAATAACCCGGAGGGGTGGGGCAGATAAACTAAGGTTGGCTGGTGGGCAGAAAGGAGAGAATGAGGCAGGAAAGGAGGAGAGGTTGTGGGGGCTGCTGGGAAAGAGAAAGTAGTGGGAGAGAAAATGAGATGCTCCTCCTGCAAGTCTATTGTGCCCCGCACTTGAAGTATCTAATACATAATAACAGGATCAACTAGCTTTTAGGATACCATCTGCACAGTAGAGTTACACAGCTTTTTTCCTGAGGCTGGGTGGAAGCAAATAACGTTACAAGACTAAGACATGACATTTTACTTAGTGTTACTGAAGACTTAACAAGTGGTCCATTGTGTCCCAGCATTTATGGAAAGATATGACAGCAATTGCTTTAAAAAAGAAAGATTCACCTTATTCGTGAGAGAATTCTGGATATTTCTTTACTTCATTTATACCTCGCCTTTCTCCCCAAGCTGCTCGATCATTCTCCTCCATTTTATCTTCACAACAACCCTGTGAGATAAATTAGGCCCCAAGGTCATCCCATGAGTTTCTCTTGCAGAGTGGGAATTCAAGCCTAGGTTTTCCAGAGCTTATTCTGACACTTTAATCACTATGCCACACCAGTTCGTCAGATAAAGAGATGAGCGGTGTTCCCTAGTACACTTTTTCAAATGTGCATGTGAGTGTGTGATATCTAAAGTTGTTCAGTACAAAAGTTGTCCAGTTCATGAATTTGAGCAGGTTGCTGCAGTTTTTTTTTTTTATCTTCATTTGACACTTGTTTTCTGATAAGTTATCTTTTTAAATCATAATATTGTTCCCTGGCTTTCCAGTTTGTTATAATTAACCTTGGAAGATGTTGAAAGGTTAATCTTTGGGATCAGTAAACAATTCACCTGAGAAAAACTATTACTTTAACATTTCTGCCAAGAGAACACAGACTGTTCAGGTCCTACAAAGGTTTCAGTAGTAGTGTTAATGTGCCAAGGTTGTTGAAATCCTTCAGAGCCAAAAAGAATATAAAGTCTGTAGAGTGCCTTCTCTGACATTTTAAAATGAAAAGCAGTTTATTAAATAGAGTTATTGCTGCCAGACCTTCTGGTTCCACTCATCTTGGACAATTGCTCAGATTCTTCAGACTCATCTGGGGGAGGAATAGCATTTCCAAATACTCCCCTGATCAGTACAGACTTGAGTTTCAAGAGAGTGAATTTTCAAGAGAGCTAGCAAAGGTGCATTTTGCAGCCATGTGACTCAACAATCTATCCTAAAGTGTAATAGTTTTAACCAGAACTCTTTTTGTAGAAAAAGCCCAGCAGGAACTCATTAGCATAATAGGCCACACCCAGCAGCAGAAACTCATTAGCATATTAGGCCACACCCCCGTGTCTTCCCTTGGCTTGCCCGGGCACCACGTGGCTGCAGGGAGTCCAGGCAAGCCAGCCCTTGGACTGGCCAGGGAAGGCATGGGGAGGCATTTAAATGCCTCCCCGATCCTTCCAGGGGCTCCCTTGGCCTGCCCCCCTTGGAGTCGCCGGGGGGGGGTCGCTCTCCAGGCCTTTCCTCTGTAGCCACGCATGCGCAGAGGTTTTGGCTGTAGCGGGCGTGGCCAGATCTGAAGCCAGCCGGAACTCTGTTCCTGTGCGTTCCTGCCCAAAAATAGCCCTGGTTTTAACTTTTTTTGTGAGCTTACCTTGTGGAATGTTGCTCTCATTAGTACTGGAAGGTTCCACTGTTTCTGCTATTTGTGAGAGTGTGTCACATAGGGACACTAAAATGCTGTGTTTGTATGTAATGCTGTAGGTTAACCAGATGAGATGTAAAACCACTAAATGGAAAATATGTTGTTAAAAAGTACCTGGTCGAGGAATTAGAGCAGTCGGGCATTTTGTGGACAGAGGCTAAAGTGGAATTTGGATTTGGGCAGTTGAAGGTAGTTGGCTTGAAAGAGGCAGAGGGCTGGGGGCTGAGGAGACCTTTTACCTCAAGACACTTGCTAAGTCAGGGGTCCTTAACCTTTTCCAGGCGCCAGGCTGTCACAGGAGGCGGAGCCAGCTACAAAATACCTGCTGCAGCTTACCTTCAGTAACACAGTGAAGACCCTAATGCTGTCGTAGCAACTGCTGCCAAAGTAACTTTTAAAAAACCTGGATAGCCAATCAGAAGATCTGCTGGGCAAAGGCCCCACCTGGTCCTGCTCACTTTCTAAAAACACTTGGGGGGGTGCCATGTTCGGGACCCCTATGCTAAGTACTTTGAACAGCACAGAATAAACCAATATATTTAAAATACAATACATTGGTGTCATTGTTAAAATAGCAAGTTGTTTCACATAAGATTCATATTCTTTCTTCTTCTTTTTGTTAAAACTGCACTCGTTCCAAAACAGAACTATTTTGTTGGGTTTTTTCTTCTAACACTCCACAAAATGTCCAGTTTTTCCATTGGAAAAGCTGTTGGGGGGGAACATTCTTTTTCCCCTCAGCTTTTCTGGGCTGTCTCATCTGGACTGATATATAGAATGCCTGCCACAGTTGAAAGAATGTGTGGGTGGAGGGAGGGAGAATATTTTAGAAACTGGGTTGGATCCAGCTAGCTAGGGTTACATCTTTTTTTGTGTGTCCATTCTCTTTTGGGCTTTTTTTTTAAACAGCTGATGAAAATGTACTCTTTTTTGGGTTGTAAGATTAGGAATATTCCTCAGTAGCAATTATCACACCTTAAATAGTAGGGGTATTTAAAATGACATTTGTCATAGTGATCACTTGTTAGAAGTAGTCGGGAAATATGTCCTCTTTTTTGCTTTTCAAAATATGGTCATCCTAAGCTAACTTTTCTGCTGGTCAGAAATAGAGGAGGAAGCCCCCTTTGACCACCATGGGGGCTGCATGTTCAAAAGCCATATGTAATGGAGACTGTAATAAGGAAGGACATGAAGAAAGGTTTAGTGAAAAAGCTGGCTGGATCCAACCCTATATCTTTCAGACCATCAGCTGTTACTAGTGACAGAAGGTGCATATTTTCAGATTTGAGGTGACTCTCCAAGATTGTCTGTTACACTTTGCAAAACAGCACTAGCTCCACACCGGTATTCTCCCCTGCCCTTAACATTAGCCTTTTTGCCCTGAGCTGATTAAGTGAGAGCCGTTTTCTTACTCGGTTTATTAAATTTCCTAGAACTCTTGTGTTTGAGAAAGGCTTCTCTTCCAAATACTCAGCTTCAGCTGCGCAGAAAATTCAGCTAAGCTGTGATTTCCAATATTTGCTTGTTAGCCGTAGCATTGTAAAGCTATGAGCACTGCAAATATCATCATAAGCTCCAGCTTTAATTTGCTGAATTTGAAGAAAGCCTTCTTTTAGATCCGAACTAGTCTTGGTTATTGAATCTAGGGACCTTTGAATGGTATTAATTCTGTGCTTGCTGTGCTGAACAGTTGTCTACTCTTCGGAAAAAGAATTCCCCTGTTGTTTTTTGTTGTTGTCTGGAACTTTACCAGAAGGTCAATTTCTTATTCTGCAAAGGTTAAGGGTAAGAAGCTGGAAGTAAAGTTAAACAACAGTTCTTTTTGTGACCTATAGGAATATATAGATCTGGTAGCTGGAAAGCTGAAAGCTTTTTAGAAAATTTTATCTGCTATGCTAGTTTTTTGTCCACTGTTAAATTGTAAGCCACCTTGAATCCCGCAAGGGAGAAAGGCAGCTAGTAAGTGATATAAGTGTAAAATTCAGAGTAAATGAACTCGATGTGGCTTTTTAAACAGCTGAATACTGGTGTTACTGGGACATCAGAAGTGCTCGTGAGAAGTGCATGTTATCGAATACCAATAACCTCTCCTATAGAATGTGTCAGTGTAACTGTTACGTTTTTAACAGCGAAAGTCAAGAAGTAAGGGCTGTTTGTGTTCATTGTAATGCTATGATTCCAACAGAATGTATTCTTTTGTCTACAATTCAATTTCTTTTGTGAAATAATAAGTAGAACTTCCCTTCCTATTCCATGTATTTTGTTTGTTTTCATTAAAATATTCATACCCCACCTTTCCTCCTGGCTCAAAGATACTTACAAGCAATGCTCCCTCTAAGCTGTGGAGTCTTGTGAGCAAAAATTCTACTTTGTGAGCTACTGGCATTAAAATTGTGAGTAAGAGATTTGGCTACTGCATAAATTAGTTTGCTCTAGAGCCTTCCTTCCTGAGCTATGACTAAAATGTGTGAGCTGGATGCTAAAAAAACTCTGAGCTAGCTCACACTAACTCAGCTTAGAGGGACCACTGCTTACAAGTAATAACTGAAACTGGGATCCGATGTCCTCCAGCGAGTCATTGGATATGCTGATAGAGGATTGGAACGCCCATCTCTCTGAAACCATCCATGAAATCGGCCCCCAATGTCCTCTTTGTTCCTGGTTGAAATCATTCCCTGGATACTATGGGACTCAGGGGGATGAAACGGAAACTCAGGTGACTTGAGTGAGTTGGCGGTGTGCTCGTTATGAAGCTACAAGAGCATCTTATAAGACACTTACGAAAGCCTATGAGGTGGCAGTGAAGGCTGCAAAGAGAAGATTTTTATGTAGCCTTCCTTTGCTTCTCCTAGCTCTCGCTCAGCACAATTGTTTGGGGTGATTAGATCCTGAACGTCTCTCATTGAGAGAATTCAAAATATTCGTAATTCGACCATTAGCTGTGAGGCATTTGCAAGCTTTTTCGCAGAAAAAGTCCTGTTGCTCTGCCGCGATCTAACCACCAATGTTGATACAGTAAGTGAACTGGAGGCCCCTTGGCTGTCTTTGGATTTGGTATCCGACAACTTCAGCAGGCTCTCCCGGGCCAATGTCAACAGGATCCTGTGTGCTGTTAGGTCAGTCACATGCCTCTTG